GTAGGCAGATGCTAAGGGGCACAAGAGATTATGCAAAGTCTGAAAGGTGTTAGAGCTCCCAGATAGTAGATTGGTGGTCTTCCCTTGCATGAAGCCAGTACACAAAGACTGGGAAAGGTGTTTGTTGTTTCAAACGCCCAAATCCCAGCAAAAACTATAAGACACACAAAGAAAAAGAAACGTGGTCCAATCAAAGGACCAAAATAAAACTACAGAAATCAACCCTGAAAAATGCAGATCTATGAATTACCTGAAAAAGAATTTAAAATAAAGGCCATAAAGATACTCAATGAGCTAAAAGAGAACACAGACTAAGGGAAATCTGGAAAACCGTGCATGAACAAAATAAGAACATCAGCAAGGGGCAGCCCTGGTGGCTCAGCGGTTTAGCGCTGCCTTCAGCCCAGGGCCTGATCCTGGAGACCTGGGATCGAGTCCCACGTCGGGCTCCCTGCATGGAGTCTGCTTCTCCCTCTGCCTGTGTCTCTGCCTCTCTCTCTCTCTCAGGAATAAATAAAATACATTAAAAAAAAAAAAAAAGAAGAACGTCAGCAAGGAGACAGAAACTATGAAAAATAACAAAGCAAACCCCGGAGCTGAAAAATACAATAACTAAAATGAAAAATTCTTTAGATAGGGTTCAACAGAAGATTGGATCAGGCAGAAAAAAGAATCAGCAAACTGGAAAACAGGTCATTTGAAATCACTGAATCAGAGGAGCAAAAATAAAAACGAATGAGAAGAGACCCTAAGGGATTTATGGTACATTATCAAGCTGGACAATATATGCATTGTGAGAATCCCAGAAGGGGAAGGAGGGGCAGAGAGCTTCTTTGAAGAGATAGAAGCAACCCAAATGTCCACTGATGGGTAAATAAAGTGTGATATACACAATGGACTATCATTCAGCCTTTAAGAAGAAGTAAATCCTGTCACATGCTACGACATGGGTGAACCTTGAGAACATTATGCTAAGTGAAATAAGCCAGTCACAAAAAAAAAAAAAACAAATACTATGTGATTCCACTTACAGGAGATATCTAAAGTAGTCAAAGTCACAGAAATAGCAAGGAAAATGGTAGTTACCAGGGGTTGGAGTGAAGGAAAAATGGGAAGTTATTATTTAATGGGTACAGTTTCAGTTTTGTGAGATGAAGAAGCTCTGCAGATTTGTTTCACAACATTGTGACTATACTTAATGTCACTCAAGTGTACACTTAAAAGTGATTAAGATGGTAAATTTCATGCTGTTTTTTTACAATTATTTAAAATAAAAAGACAAAATTCAAGAACCCTTAAGATGTTGCTGGTTGGCATAGATCCTTAGCCACATAGTCCAAATTTCTCCTTTCACATATTAGGAGATTGAGCCAGAGATAGTAATTCCCTCAATCCACTAGTGACAGAGTTGGGACATAAAGCCATGTCTTCATATTCTTAACATTGTTTCTGCTCACTCATACTTTTAGGGGACATTTCCTTAAAAAAACACAGACCAGATTCTCACTGGCATCTTCTTTCAAGAAATAAGAAAAATACTAACAGCTAGGTAACAAACAGAGCTTGGGAATAGTGAAGAATTGGGGAATAAAAATAGGGAAATCAGTCTGAAGAAGACTTCTGTTTTCAGACTGATACATAGTAAATTAGGGATTTTCAACCCAAAGATCTGATTTGTCAATTATAATCAGGTTTGAATCTGTTTCAAGAATTACTTGCAGGACGCCTGGGTGGCTCAGTTAGTTGGGTGTCTGCCTTTGGCTCGGGTCATGATCCCGGGGTCCTGGGATCAAGTCCCACTTTGGGCTCCCTGCTCAGCAGGGAGTCTGCTTCTCCCTCTGCCCTGCTTGTGCTCTCTATCTCAAGTAAATAAATAAAATCTTTAAAAAAAAGAATTATTTGCAATGCTGGAGTGGTAATAAGATGTCAGTTGTCACTCTATAATTGGCATTTAAATGGCTAGCATTCCAAAACTAAGTATCTCATTTCCTCTGAAGCTATTATCTGTGTTTGGAAAAGCTTTCATCAGGTGGACAGCCCAGCTAATGTAAAGATATGCACTTTGCCATTAATTTCATGTAAATTACTTAGTGGAGAGTAAAAAAGACAGTTTTTGTTCTGCTGTGCTTCTCTATTTACACATTACTTTAGCCAAGGAAGGTATCTGTCTATGTATATCAATACCATATCAGGAAAAAGGAGCAAAAGCTGAAATCAGGTATTTGGGGAGTGTTAAGAATCCAAATTCCAGGGCAGCCCAGGTGGCTTAGCAGTTTAGCACCACCTTCCGCCCAGGGCCTGATCCTGGAGACCCGGGATTGGGTCCCACGTCGGGCTCCCTCCATGGAGCCTGCTTCTCCCTCTGCCTGTGTCTCTGCCTCTCTCTCTCTCTGTTTCTCTCATGAATAAATAAATAAAATCTAAAAAAAAAAAAAAAGATTCCAAATTCCCACCTTGTTTACAATAAAACCTATTTAGAGCTTTTGAGAATCATATTGTTTTTTTCAAAATTGAGAAAAGTTTTTACAAATCCCCATAAATAAATAGTATTGTGAATATGATATCATTATTTATTCCACTTATTCACACAACTACTTGTCTTTTATTTAGACCACATTGACTTCTACATTGGTAGCTTGTTTAAAGCAAAAGTGTACTTCGCACTGCCTGGTTTGTCATCTTCTGGTGAAGCTGCACTGAGGGGAAAATTTTGTGTGAGGGCATATTACTGAAACCCTCATTTTATACTTAGTGCAGAAGCCAACTCCAAGTCTGAGGAGAATTATTACACCTAACTGGTCAACTTACATATAGTACTAGAAAGGAGAGTTATGGAGTAGAAGAATTCATCTCCAAGGGGTCAATTATAAAAGTGTATTAATCTTCTGTACTTTATGCATTTCTTAATTCTTCTATAATAGTTTCGCATTTGATAACTTCAACCTTAACCAAGCAAGTACTACTTATTTGTGCTGAGGCTACAAAAAAATTATAAGAATAGAAGATAAAGGAGAAAAAAACTGAACAGAATTGTTAATTATAGTTACAAATGTAAAATGACAGAAATATGGCATTGGACCTGTGGAAGTGTCATGCCACCTGACAAACAAAAATTACTGTATCAAATGAAGTAAAACATGAAAATCCCTGAGAAATGCAGGGATTTTAATTTTTATATCTTAATTTTTCTAGCAAATTATTTGTGTACTGTTAATATAAGTAGGATGGGGAACTTTTGCATTAAAATGGTGCCCACATCAGACATTATATACACAATAACCACCACATACATTTTGGAAATAATTTTTAGCTGAAACTAGTAATTCTGTGCAGTTGTTAATATGTGCTAAAATATGTGACTAGACATTTGTAGGCAATGCAAACTGAAAGCAATTCCTGAGAACTTCAAACTGAAAATAAACTTTTACTCAATTATCTAGTTAATCACAATAAAAATGGCTTGTCGTTTTTAAAACTCATACAATTTGCTATGAAATTTCTTTTTTTTTCCGGGATAGACAGACATAGCCTGTTTTATAAAGCAACAGTAAATACAATATATCCAAAATATATTCAGAAGGTTAGTGTTGCACCTATGCATAGAATAGCATCCTCTCCTATGGCCTGACAGGAGGAAAGCCGAAAAGTTCAGCTGCCCAAAGATACACCTATCATTTGTGTGCTGAGGACTCTGAATACTCTTTAGGAAGGAGTCAGAGGAAGGAAACACAGAAATTCATTATCAGAGATTACATATTATCAATCTAGCATAGTTTGTTAGCTTAACTAACCTAGCAGGCTGGAAGGTTCAAAGGGAATGAGCACCAAATCAATATATTTTATTGTGAAGAAGGCTCAGTAGGAAAGGCTGAGTACATGGGACTCTGCCAGGGAAAGTCAAGCTAGATGAAACAACTTAATGAGGGCACACTGGCAAACTGGATGATACTAAAGGCAGTCAGCAGGTTGAAAGAAAACTGATGCCATGTATATGTTGCCTCCATTCTATCAATATCTTAGTCCCAATACAATGTCTGTTACAAAAACATAGTTAGCCACTAAAATATAGATATATAAAGGAAGATGCCCTTACATTTCCACATTATTCAACACATTAATAATAATATAATATAATAATAATATAATACTAATAACACATCATACTAATACTAATAAGTATTTATTATGTTTTTACCTGTCATATTCAGACTCAATTTTGGGTGATCTTTTGAATCTTTCTACTGGTGAATGTCTTCGATATCTTCCTGATTGGCCATGAGATCTCCCTGATAGGAGATGAGATCTCTCTGATGAGACATGAGATCTCTCTAATGGAACATGAGATCTCCCTGATAGGATATGCGATCTTTCTGATGGGACATGCAATCTCTCTGATGAGACATGAGATCTCCCTGATAGGATAGGAGATCTCTTTGAATAATCATTAAATCTCTCTGAGTTATTATGACATCTGTCTGAGTGACCATAAAACCTCTCAGTGTAACCATGAGATCTCTCTAATTGCCTAAGAGACCTCTCAGTGTAACCACAAGATCTCTCTAGTTGGCTATGAGATCTCTCTGTGTGGCCACGAGATCTCTCAGTGTAACCATGAGATCTCTCTAATCGGCTAGGAGATCTCTCAGTGTAACCATGAGATCTCTCTAATCGGCTAGGAGATCTCTCAGTGTAACCATGAGATCTCTCTAATCGGCTAGGAGATCTCTCAGTGTAACCATGAGATCTCTCTAATCGGCTAGGAGATCTCTCAGTGTAACCATGAGATCTCTCTAATCGGCTAGGAGATCTCTCAGTGTAACCATGAGATCTCTCTAATCGGCTAGGAGATCTCTCAGTGTAACCATGAGATCTCTCTAATCGGCTAGGAGATCTCTCAGTGTAACCATGAGATCTCTCTAACCAGCTAGGAGATCTCTCAAAGCAGCCATGAGATCTCTTTAATCGGCTAGGAGATCTCTCAGTGTAACCATGAGATCTCTCTAATGGGCTATGAGGTCTCTCTCTGTGGCCATGAGATCTCTCTAATTGGCCATGAGATCTTTCTCTGTAGCCATGAGATCTCTCTAATCGTCTATGAGATCTCTCAGTGAGGCCACGAGATCTCTCTAATAGTCTAGGAGATCTTTTTGTGCAGCCATGAGATCTGTCTAATAGGCTATGAGATGTCTCTGAGTGGCCATGAAATCTCTCTAATTGGCTATGGGATCTTTCTTTGTAGCCATGGGATCTTTCTGTTTGGGCATGAGATTTCTCTGACCGGCCATGAGCTCTCTTTAATTGACCATGAGATCTTTTTGTTGGGTCATAAGATCTTTTTGTTGGGGCACGAAATCTCTCTGGATGGCCACGAGACCTTTCTGGTTGGCCACAAGATCTCTCAGATTGGCCATGAAATTCCTCAGGTTGATTACGAGGTCTCTCGAGTTGACCGCAATATCTCTCAGACCGGCTACTAGAACTCTCAGACTGGCTTTGAGATCTCTCAGACCGGCTTCGAAATCTCTCAGACTGGTCATGAGATCTCTCCGACTGGCCATGAGAACTCTCTGACTGGCCACGAGATCTTTCTGACTGGCCACGAGAACTCTCCGACTGGCCACAAAAACTCTCCAACTGGCTACTAGAACTCTCAGACTGGCCATGAGAACTCTCTGAATGGTGTCGACTTTCTGATGATTGGCCTTGAGATTCTTCTGATTGATGCTGGTTCCCCTCTGACTGGCTTCCACTCGTTTCTGTTTGGGACTTAGAATTGTCACTTAACTTCTCCTGCAAAGAACCACAATTTGGCAAAACAAATGTAATGAATGATATTTTGTCAAAGCCATTTCTATGCACAAATTTTTTTTTTTTTTAGAATTTCATTGCCCCTACTTTTATAGACTAAACAGTTTTCAGAACTAATTTGTAGAGAATGCTCTGATATTTCAGGTCATTGGCACAAAGAATATCATGCATATAAAACTTTAATAAAATCTTTTAAATATAGAAAATTTGTTGCTTTGCAAATTTGAATATATTCCAAGGTGTTTTACCTAAAAGACAATAGATTCTATGACTTTATAGTTGAGGAGAGAAAGAATATTTAATATTTTGCAGTACAAATCCTAGAACCAAAGGAAAGTATTCAAAACCATACAATTCTTCACCTGTTTCATATCATTAAAAAGAAACTATCTCTTAATTATGCATTAATACTTAATTCTAGGGATCCCTGGGTAGCGCAGTGGTTTAGCGCCTGCCTTTGGCCCAGGGCGCGATCCTGGAGATCCGGGATCGAATCCCACGTTGGGCTTCCGGTGCATGGAGCCTGCTTCTCCCTCTGCCTGTGTCTCTGCCTCTCTCTCTCTCTCTGTGTGACTATCATAAATAAATAAAAATAAAAAATAAAAAAAATACTTAATTCTAGAAAGAAAGACAAATATGTGAGGGGAAAGATAGCAATAAAGAAAGCAAAAAGTTGGCTTAATACTGTTCAATAAATAAATTGACCTGGTAACAATTCAGCCTTTCTACCTTTTCAATTTTTAAAACAAAAGGGCAGTAGAGGGATCCCTGGGTGGCGCAGCAGTTTGGCGCCTGCCTTTGGCCCAGGGCGCGATCCTGGAGACCCGGGATTGAATCCCACGTCGGGCTCCCGGTGCATGGAGCCTGCTTCTCCCTCTGCCTGTGTCTCTCCCTCTCTCTCTCATTCTCTGTGTGACTATCATAAATAAATAAAGAAAAAAATATTAAAAAAAAACCAAAAGGGCAGTAGAGTGAATTAGTCAAATGGAAGTGATGAAAACTTTGACAAATCTCTATGATGTTATATAAATACAAGAGGATAAATCCATATGGACCATGCTGTGAAATCAAGCTTTCCACTAGTAAATATTGCCTGGCAAATAAAACATCCCTGAGACCTGCCATTGTGACTTTCTAATATAACGCTAGCAGAAGCTGGAAGGAACTGTTAAAGGGCACAGATGCACTGGTATAAAGAATATTATTCACATAAAACTTTAGTAAAATGGGGGCACGTGGATGGCACAGTCAGTTAAGTATCTGATTCTTGGTTCAGCTCAGGTGGTGTTCTCATGGTTGTGAGTCAGGCTCCATGCTCAGTGCAGAGTCTGCTTGAGATTCTCTCTCCTTCTCCCTCCGTCCTTCCCGTTTGTGCAATCTCTCTCTCTCTCTCTCTCTCAAAATAAATAAATCTTTTTTAAAAATAGTACTCACTTTAAAAAAAAAACACTTTAGTGAAATGGAAAATATGACAAATTTGTTGCTTTGTTAAAGCACAAAGCCATAGTCACTCTCCAGCCTTTCTACCATAAAATATAAATGAGAAGGTTGGGTGGAATGCACATGTACCTCTTTTCTAAGTGATTAGTGTTGGGAGCATAATGAGTCAGCAGAAAGGATTGAGACCCATCTCCTAAAGACCCATATGCATCCAAGTACCCTTCCCAAGGAGCTTGTAGTATTTTTACAAATGTTTATATAAGAAATAGTTTCATCAACTCAGATATGACATATTTCTACCTTTAAAAGAATGAAATGCTTATTAAGTTTTCTTATAAACCATAAAAACTATCAAAAAGATTGTGCTAAATATATACACTTGATATTAAGACTAAATCTTGTACAGTATAAAACTAGCTTATTAGAATTTCAAAACAGGATTGAAAACTATAATTGTTACTCAATTTATCAGCAAAGTAATTATGCTTAAATTTTGACATATTTCTTTGCCACAGAGTATTTTTTTTTCTGGTGTTTTCTGCTATAATGACAGTCTTAAAAGTATGAGAGACAAAAAGGTGCTTTAAATTTGAAAATCTAAGAATTGTTCCATCACTATATTGTACACTTGAAACTAATATAACACTACATGTTAGCTGTACTGGAATTAAAGTCTTAAAAAAAAGAAGTAAATACTGTTTTACAATAATTCTCAGCTCATTTATGCATCTCAGACTGTGGAAGATGTAAGCTCATGTCTTTCTTTCCAAACTTTATGAAAAACCTCCTCACCCTACAGATTGTCACCTGTTAGGGGTACCTGGGTTGCTTAGCCGATTAAGCATCCAACTTGATTTCAGCTCAGGTCATGAGACAGAGCCTCACATCTGGCTCTGCATCAGGCTCCACAACGCACATGGAGCCTGCATAAGATTCTCTCTCTCTCTCTCCTCTCTCTCTCTCTCTCTCTCTCTCCCTCCCTCTAAAAAATTTAAGTAAGTAAGTAAGTAAATAAATAAATAAATAATGTTACCTGTTAAACTTTCTCAAGTCTTCCCAGTCAGAATGAATCACTGCATCCTCACAATATATAATGTATACCTTATTAAAGCATGTATTGCAACTGGCCTAGCACTAAATTTTTTTCTTATCTTTCTCTCCTATCACCACAGATAATATTTGAAGCAGGACTGGCTAGTACCTTGCATAGTACTTGTGCAAAGTAGACAATATTTACTAAATCAACTTAAATTAATCCTCTATTTGAAAATGCAACATGTTCCCCTCCAAAAAAAAACAAGATTTATTTATATAATTTGGCAAAAATGGCTTAAGTTCCCAGAACCACCATTTTTTTTTTTTTTTACTAAATAACCACATAATACCTTCAGAAGAATCAGTTTATAGGCCCAGCTAAAACAGTAGCATCAGTGTTAGCTTTTGAATCTGAATAGGAGTACCTCTCAAATTCCTGTCCAGTGGCTGGCTTATTTATACAAACTTAGAGGTGATGGGTTTCTACAGGGTAGTATGTCCCATCCATTGGACTCAGGGTATATTTCATATCGTATATCATCTGACTTGTTTTTTACAATTCATTCACAAAGGTACTAAAAGTGTTTTATACTATACCTTAAGATCAAAGACTCTATATGAGGGCAGAAATGAGAATGATCATACAAAACAAACCACAAAACTAAGAATTTATTTTGGCATTTTAAAAACTCAAAATTTCTAGCAATAATCAAAAATAGCCAAAATTAAATGTTTATTAAAACAGTTACAGAGGAGGAAAAAAATCAATGAAAAATATTGGATTTGTATTGTGTTCAAGGCACCAGGAGGGAATACTAAGAAGCAATCTCTGCTCTCAATGGAATTTAAAATAATCCTTAATATTAAGAATTATATTAAATTTAAAATCTTTTATATTGGTTAATTCTCAGTGTTTATTTACCTGCTCATTTACAGGCTGCTTGTTTAAAGTGCTTTGTCCACACTTGAATCCAGAAGATTTTGGGTATGGGTTTTTATCAGGATTTTCTTCCTCAGTGTTCTTTCTGAATCTTGAGAATCCTTTGAAAAATAATTATTTTCTGTATTTTCAGTCAGTAAATTCAACATATCTTTCAGAAGTGTTATCTGTGATCTCACTGTTTTAAAGCTATGCACTGGGTTTTGCAAAACTTGACATTTCATTAGTCTTACGTCATCCGAGAGTCTCACTGAATTCTGGGAAAGTCTTTGCCATACCGTTTCTATTTGCACACCTTAATATAGTAGTCTTCTCTGTATACAATACCTCAGATTTGTTTTCATATGCCAACAAAGTTGGGGCATATCATCCATCTACTAGAAAAAGAAGAGATGGAGAAAAACTGCTTTGCATTAATCATGTGAATATTTGCCTCCGTTGTCTGCTTTGCTTTGGGTGTAAAGATAGTTTAAGGAACAAAGAAGATGGATCACCAAAAGGCTCACAAAGATCAATTTTATGTTCAGTTAGAAACATGAGAGTGAGATGGGGCACCTGGGTGGCTCAATTGGTTAAGCATCTGACTGTTGGTTTTGGCTCAGGACATGATCTCAGGGTTGTTGGCTTAAGACTTACACCGGGCTCTGTGCTCAGCACAGCATCTGCTTGCCCCTCTCCCTCTGCTCCTCCCTGTGTGCACTCTCCCCTCCTCTCTCTCTTAAATTAAAAAAAAAGAAACATGAGAATGGGCAACCTCACCATTCTCAGCGGCTTTGTTCCTCTAATAACCACAATCCCTCCTTTTCTCAGAACCTGCTAAACCACTGAAGGGTTCAAACAAGGACTATCATGAAACTGGGTGGGCAACTGGCAGGGGCTTGGAGTAGTACACAACCTGTCAAGATGATTCCAGATCTCCTTGCTGAAAAGACTTCTCTACAAAAGCAGTCAGCAGCACATTTTTATTAATATATACAGACTGGGGCACCTGGGTGGCTCAGTGGTTGAGCATCTGCCTTCGGCTCCAGTCATGGTCCCAGAGTACTGGGTTTGAGTCCTGCACCGGGCTCTCTGCATGGAGCCTGCTTCTCCCTCTGCCTATGTCTCTACCTCTCTCCCTGTGTCTCTCATGAATAAATAAATAAAATCTTTAAAATAAATAAAAATAAAATAAAATATGCAGACTGCACTGATCAATGGGGTTAGAAATACAAAAAGGCTTTCTTCATGTTCTATACTTTGCCACAGGGCATTTGTCTTTTCAAAATGTGGGTGCCATGGTGCCCAGATTATTAACCATGCTCTTATCCCTCCTGTATTGCCTCCTAAAGGTGGAACTGGACCAACCAGGCAGGTCTGTGAATATGTATAGAACATTTATCATTCTCCTCCTTCTCGCCCTTATGGAAGAAACACATATAAATTTTAAAAATTGTTTTCATTGGTCATGGCATAAATTCTTACCAACCCTATAATGCCTACATTTCCAAGAAAAATAAAACTACAACATAATGCAACGTCAGAATACATTCCAAGTTTGCAAATTTGCTTACCTAGTTATTTACAAATATTTCAGATTCTTTACAATGTTTGATTTTTAGTATACTTTACCTCTCTGATGGTACTGCCTATGACCATTTGATCGGCATCTTGAAATCACGCTCCTTTTTTTACGGTTCTGTGTCCCATTCTTTTTTGGTTCAGTTTTTGGGCTTTCTATATTTTTGAGGATTATAATGTCATCTGTATTAGAAAAACACATAAAAAAAAAACCTAAGACAACAGAAAAAGCTGAATTACAACATGTCTCAAGTGAATAATCTATATTCTATCTCACCATATTTCAGAACATTGTAAACATTGGTAGCCCTGAAAAGTGCTAACAGTATAATAAGAATGAACTTGTGAGACTATAACAAAAATCAAACAATTCAGACATTTTAGGGTTACTTTCCCGGAACAATAAAGAGAAAGATTCCTGTTAAACAGATTTATAGTAACTTCATTCATGCAAAAATAAAATACTTTCAGAGTCAAGTAGCCTAAAGGGGAAATCATTTAAATAAACGATTTCACTAAATGTTGTAGTTTCAGAGAAACATAGAGCAAGCGTCCCTCCCGATGAAATATAAATGCTAGACAATTAGTTGCATTTATTCTTGTGAATTGTAAGAAAGGAAGCAATAGTGATGGACATTCAGAGGACGCAAGGAACCAAGATGAGCAAGGACAAACCAAAGAGACAAGGAACCAAGATGAGTGTAGTACAGGAAGCAATCAGACTTCACTCTGTAGTCAGGCATGTTCTAGGTACTCATGCAGCATGATCTGAAGGATGAGAGATGCCTACAAACTGCTTTAAAATATCTCTCCTAACATCCAAGATGGGAAGATTTTTTTAAAAGATTTTACTGCTCTGTTTCACATAAAGAGAGCACAAGCAGGGTGAGCAGGAAAAGGAGAAGCAGACTCCCCACAGAGCAGGGAGCCCAATGTGGGACTTGATCCCAAGACCCCGGGACCATGACCCGAGCCAAAGGCAGACACTTAACCAACTGAGCCACTTAGGCGCCCTGGGACAGGAGGATTTAAAGACTGGATGTTCTATCAGTGGATAAAAGCTTACTTAAGTCAAGGGACCTTAGAAATAACCACAAGCTAGGTATTTGGAAGGAACTGGAGATACTAGAAGAGAGAGGGGAAGATGGGAAGGGTACAAAAGAAGAGGCAGTTGTACACCAAAGATCATCCAATTCCTTCATTATTTTGCTTAGTACTAGCCCTGCCTCGGGTCTTCAAAAATCTGATTCTGATTTTCTTTGAAATGGCTGGCATCTTTAAAGGTAAAAGTCAGGGTAAAGTTCAACAATTAGTTGAGTGCCATTTCTTGACCAGCCCATTTTAAGCCTTTGTTCTGTCTGCCCATCGGCTCCCAATGGTTATAGCATCCTGCAAAGACATAGCCTTTTAGTTCCTTGTATTCCTCCCACATCCTCTTAACTTCTCGTTTTTTCCCTCTGTTCTCTCCCCTGTATTCGACGTTTAAAATCTGTATAAATCTCTGCATGGAGTTTTGCCTCATTACACTATAAGAGTGTTCACTAATCAGAACATCTTGCAAGGCACCACTTTGCATAATTAATTTGAAATAGAATGAACAGGAAAATGCTATTTTAATAAGAACATCACATTCAGATGGAGGATCACTAGCCCAGGTGGTGCTGAGACAACAGAGATTTTTTAATCTTTTTTAAAAGATTAAAAGCCAGCCAGCTTGCAGGGACCCAGTGAGATGGCTGACTTCCTAAATAGGAGAACAAAACCTCAGAGAGGAGAAAGTGAAGAGCAAGCTCCTCCCTGAGTCAGTGGTATGTTTACAATGACGTGAGGGAGTGCTCTGGGATCAGTCTGTCTTGTGGCACTCACAGGCAATTTTCAATGACTTGATTTTTCCTGACCTCTGAGTCATCAAAAATAAGGCAAGCTCTGTCTTGGAATCACATAAGGATTAAATATGATAGAAAATGTCTTGAGGAGACACCTGGACGGCTCATTCAGTTAGGTGTCTGCCTTCGGCTCAGGTCAGGATCCCAGCGTCCTGGGATTCGAGTCCCTTGTCAGGCTCCCTGGTCAGTGGGAAGTCTGCTTCTCCCTCCCCGCCCCTTGTGATCTTTCTCTCTCACACTCTCTCAAGTAAATAAATAAAGTCTTTAAAACAAAAAAGAAAAGAAAAGAAAAGAAGAGAAAAGAAAAGAAAGAAAAGAAAAAAGAAAAGAAAAGAAAAGAAGCCCAAGACATTTTCTTGGCTTGAAAATGAAAGAAAAGAAAAAAAGAAAATGTCTTGGGCTCATGCAGGACTACAGCTACAGTTGAGAAGCAGGCTCCCCACAGAGCAGGGAGCCCAATATGGAACTTGATCCCAAGACCCCGGGGCCATGACCCCAGCCAAAGGCAGACACTTCCACATAAAATCTCTTGGCACAGTACCTGGCATACATGCGACACTCAATAAATGAGACAATAAATGAACAAACGTTTATCAAGTATCTCATGTATGTCAGGTGGTGCACCCCCACCCTTAAAGGTCAGCAGAGATCATCCCCACTTTTAAAGAAGGAAACAGACTTACATGACTTACTTGAGGGCAAAAGATTAATATGTTAAGAAGCCGGGACAGATTCTAAGTCCAAGATTCTTGCCACTACATTACACTTCTTCCTTCAAAAGCTCAGCTATCTGGGCAACTGGGCAACTGGCTCAGTCGGTTAAGCATCTGCCTTCGGCTCAGGTCATGATCCCAGGATCTTGGGATGAAGTTCCGAGTCAGGTTCCCTGCTCAGCTGAGAGTCTGCTTCTTCCTCTCCCTTTGCCCCTCCCCGCTGCTTGTGCTCTCTCTCACTCTCGTGCTCTCTCTCAAATAAATGGATAAAATCTTAAAAAAACAAAACAAAACAAACAAAAAAAAAAAACCTCAGCTATCCCAGGGCACCTGGGTGGCTTAGTCAGTTAAAGGTCCTGGGATTGAGCCCCCAGTGGAGTCAGGCTCCCTGCTCAGCGGGGAGTCTGCTTCTCCCTCCTTCTACTCCCGCTCTCTGCTTGTGCACACACACTCTCTCTCTTTCAAATAAGTAAATAAAATCTTAAAAAGAAAGAAAAGCGCAGCTATCCCAAGGACGAGGAGAACAGCACCCAGGCTAGTGACCTTCCATTTGAATGTGATATTATTAAAATAGCATTTTACTTTCAATTGTTTCTTTTTTTTTAAGATTTTATTTATTTATTCATGAGAGACAGAGACGGAGGCAGAGACACAGGCAGAGAGAGAAGCAGGCTCCATGCAGGAAGCCCAACGTGGGAGTTGGTCCTGGGACTCCAGGATCACACCTGAGCCAAAGGCAGATGCTCAGCCACGGAGCCAGCCAGGCGTCCCTCCATTCTGTTTCAAATTAATTACACAAAGTCAAGTTTAGCACTCAAATAGTGTAAGGCAACCTCTAATACAGTATTTGAGCACTCATTTTGCCCTGTCCCCTTGATTTCTTCAGCCTCAGATTGGTATACAACCATTATCAGTCTTGTTCTGAACCATATAGTGCTATGGAATAGCTATGGTGTGGCTTCACTCATTTGCTCAAAAGAACTTAAGTCATTTGATCTTTCAAACAACTACCCTGCAACTCACATAATCCTTTTTAATTCATGAATGAAATATATAACATGGCTCCAGAAATTCTGAAATTCCTCCTCCCCCATAAGCAAATCCTTCTCAGTAGCTTAAACATAACATTATAAGGACTTTGGTCTTAGGGTCACTCTGACAGTGCCACATGAATCCTGTGGATTTTTTTAATCCTTTACTTTTAAATATATTAGGATAGGGACACCTGGGTGGCTCAGGGGTTAAGGCATCTGCCTTTGGCTCAGGGCATGATGCTGGGGTCCCAGGATCGAGTCCTGCATCGGGGTCCCTGCAAGGGGCCTGTTTCACCCTCTGACTGTGTCTCTACCTTTCTCTGTGTGTCTCTCATGAATAAATACAATCTTTAAAAATAATAATAATAATAAATAAATAAATAAATATATTAGTACATGGAAGCATTTTCCCATGTCAGTCTGCCTCAAAGCAAATATCATATAGCTCCCTAATACTATGAATGAACAAACATCAGAGGAAAAAGTAGTGAATAGCAGTAAATGTTGTACATTTCAGGCAGGATTCTTTTTTCTTTTTTAGTAAAAATGTCATTTCCAAGCAGGCTTTACAGAGATTGACTGTCATTGTTCACATTCAACAAATGGGTAGAGGTTTCATATCTGCTACTTGGCCATCAGCATGGAGATATTTTGACTTAGAGTAATTATTCTAGAATATTCTAGAAGAGAGAAGGTAGAAATATATTCTGATATCTATCCAAATCTACAAAAGAGGGCAGCCCGGGTGGTGCAGCGGTTTGGCGCCGCCTGCAGCCTGGGTGTGATCCTGGAGACCCAGGATCGAGTCCCACATCAGGCTCCCTGCATGTCTCTGTCCCTCTGTCTCTCTCTCTCTCTCTCTTTCTCTCTGTCTCTATGAATAAATAAATAAAATCTTTTAAAAAAAACAAAAAACAAAAAAAAACAAATCTACAAAAGAGACTCTTTGGGTGAAAAATACATTATTTTCCCACTTATTTAGCCTTACTGTAAGGCTTTTGTTATGGTACTGACATTTACATTTTCATAAAAATAGCCACTGCTTTCACCCAATTTAACCTCATAAATGATGGTACTGGCTTTTCTTTATTTTTTTTTTTTTTTTTGGCTTTTCTTTAAAATATCAGCAGCCCTGGGGCACCTGGGTGGCTTAGTCGGTTCAGCATCTGACTCTTGGTTTCAGTTCAGGTCATGATCACATGGGTCCTGAGATCAAGCCTCACGTCCCTTGGGCTCCACTTTCAACGAGAAGTCTGCTTAAAGATTCTCTCCTTTTGGGACGCCTGGGTGGCTCAGCGGTTTAGCGCTTGCCTTTGGCCCAGGGCGTGATCCTGGAGTTCAGGGACTGAGTCCCACATCGGGCTCCCTGCAAGGGGCCTGCTTCTCCCTCTGCCTATGTCTCTGCCTCTCTCTCTCTCTCTCTCTGTATGTGTCTCTCATGAATA